CAAACGATTTTGTGGAAATTTCGTTTTTTTGGTTTCTATTCTGAAGAATTTCGAAACTTTTACAGCGGAATTTTCTCAGTTACCTAAATACGCAGCTTTGCACCCATTTAAGCGACTTTGTTGCCAAAATTACGTAGTACTTATCACCCATTTGCCTCAAAATGACACAGCGTTATATCAACATGATAGCATCTACCTTCATCAGGCTAGTGCTGCTCTTAAAACTTAGGTACTAAGAAGTATCACATCTTGAAATCGTCAGACACCACAACTATCTGGAAACACCCGAGGAAACACCCACACTGTTGAGCAATAATAATAATAATAAATGGCCTTTATTCGTCACACGATTACAAAATAATTGGTTTAAAAGGAACAGTGACGAAAAGGTGGAGTGTCAGCTTATGCTGTTTTTCAAACCGACCTGGAAAACATTGACACAAACTATAGAGAGAGAGAAAAAAAAACTTAGAATATAACACTTATCAGAGAAAGGAAACAATCAATTACCTGTGGATATGCATAAAGTAAAATTTTAGCCATCTGACTGCTTTAAACTCATCTTTAACCTTTTTTTAAAATTGCTTAGGCTATATTCTTTATACTCACTTGATAAGCAGTTATATAGTTTGGGTGCCCAGTACGAGAAACTGCGTGTGAACAATGCTGTCGAATGCCGCGGGATAAGTAAGATGAGTTTATTCCTAGAGGATCTTTGATCTATGTACCAGAGATAGGCAATGCAGTTTCCTCAATTTGTTCATCTTAAACCATCCCGATTGGTCAAAAGCGCTACTAATATGATCAAATTTACGGATTCCATAAGAAAATCTGATGCATAAGTTTTGTATCATCTGAATCCGCTCGGCATCACGTTGTAAAAGAGCAGGTCCATAAACAGAGTCACCGTAAGATAATGTTGACAGGATAAGTGACTCGCAGAGTTTAAGCTTGAGCTGTGTCGACAGGACACTTCGAGTCGGGTATAACTGACGAAGCACATTATAGGACGCATTCCATAGTTGGTTAACATGTTTAGTGAAGCGTAGCTTGCAGTCAAACCAGATACCACGGTTTTTGCATTCGTTTACGAAGGATATGTCTTCATTATTCACCATAATATTAATGCGATATTGATTTATTACACGATTCTTTTTGGGCCCAAATAAAATGCAGCATGATTTGCCAGGATTTAGTTTTAGATTGTGAGCACTAGATATGTCAAAAATAGACTGCAGGTCTTGATTTATTTGATGTTGGCCAAGCATATATTCATCAGGATCGAAGCAGTTATAAAGTTGGGTATCATCGGCGTAATGATGAACGATTGAGTTGCTGGCGGTTTCATGAAAATCACATATATAAAGAGCAAATAAAAGGGGACTCAAAATAGATCCTTGAGGGACACCAAAATTTCTGAATAAAGAAGTTGATATATTGTTTTCATATATGACAGACTGTGAGCGATCAGTTAAAAAGCTCTTAATCAGCGTGCAAGCCGATGATGACAGGCCAAAATATCTAAGCTTTTTACAGAGAATATTAGGGTCAACCGTATCGAAGGCCTTGCTAAAATCAAGAAGAACTAAGCAGGACAGCTTTCCTTGATCAGCCGCGCTATAAATATTATCCGATATAGACAGGAGCGCAGTGGTGGTGCTATGTAATGGTCTGAAGCCAGATTGGGAGGTGGTCAGTAAATTATTTTGACAAACAAATGTGTGCAGCTGCTCATGTAGAGCCATTTCCAAAAGCTTAGATAAACTTGGTAAAATGCTTATAGGACGAAGATCAGAAAAACTTGAAGAATAATTAGATTTAGGCAGAGGGAGAACAAGAGCATTCTTCCAGGAAGAGGGATAAAGATTATTTGTTATACAAAAGTTAATAATGAAGGTAATATACTTGAGCAAATGCTTATGTATTATACGGATCATATCAATTGTGATGCCATCTGAGCCTTTAGCATGACTTTTGATGCGATTGATAAATTTCTCTACAGTGGCAGGGGAAACTGTCGTGAACAGAAAAGTACCACTATTCTTGACGTTTTCATATTTGTCTAAAAGGTTCAATTGAGTTAATGATTTGGTTGTTTGAGGTACGTTTAAAAAAGCACTATTTAATGAATCGAGATCCTGAAGATGTGGAGGTAGACTTATGGAGTTATGTTTAACGATATTCAAAGATCTAAGTATATTCCATGTAGACTTCGAATTTTTATGTCTCATAACATAATCGAGGTAGGCTTTTTTCTCTCGCCTAATAGCACTAGAAACATAATTTCTGATTTTCTTATAGAATTCCCAGGCAGCAATCGTTCCTGTACGTTTAAATTTTTTATATGCGTCACTTTTTGTTCGCATCATGAGTTTTATGTTGAATGTTCGCCAAGGAGCTGGTGGCTTGGTAACTCGAATGTTTCTGACAGGAGCATGCAAGTTGAAGGTGCACAAGATATTAGAGCTCAGGAAGTCAATCATTTGATCCACATCTCTCAACGTATATATAAAATCCCAGTTTATTAAAAGTAAATCATGGTAGAAATTGTCTAGGCTAAAGGTAGAGTAATCATGATATGTCCTCAGTTTACATAGGTTGCTTATCTCCGATGCATCTACATAAAATATTAGGGCTAGATGGTCAGATATTCCATCTACGTCAACAACTTCATAACCACTTATTATATCAGCAGAGCTAACCATGAGCAAGTCTATAGCTGTCTGGCTATTGGAAGTTATACGTGTGGGCTCTTTCACTAACTGAGACAGATCAAAAGACTCAAGAAAACAGTTCAGCATCTCGGATCGGCCGTCGTTCACTAAAACATTAATATTAAAATCGCCCATGACAATTGCGTAATCATTATCGAGAGCAATGACAGCAATACTACGAATTTAATGACAGAACTGTCAAAAGCTCACTTCTGTCGAGTATACTTCGATCCTCACTACATACTGTGAGAATATTGAGACGAATTAACCCTTCACTGGACCACACTTGTCTGAATTCGATAGAACATAATCGCTAATGCTGCAACTCACAATACGGATATCGAGTCGACGCTACAAAGTCAAAGTCACTTGCGGCTTTCCCGTTTGTGTGTAGCACACACGCAGTTGCGTAGGTAACTGGAGTGACGTCATGACATGAAAGCTAAAGAATATCTTATCCTCCTTTGATGTGTCATTACTCTGCACTCCTTTGTTGAAAGCAATGCATCACTCATCCCCATTTTCTGCAACCAATCTCTACTAACTAAATGAAAAAGAAACTCATTTAATTTAGTAGTGAAATCATAAGGCTTTAGTGGTGAGTTATCAGGTATATAACTCCAGTCGTATATCCTAGAATCTCTGCCGTTTCTTACTTGCCTTTCAAAAAATCTCTTAATTAAAATATTTCGACCCATATTGATAAGGAATCTTTTCGTTCATTTGCGAGTTAGAATTTGTAGCTTTACGTTTAACTATGAGACACCCTATAAGTACAATAATTAGTGACACTCTTAGTAACCTTAAAGTGTTGTTCATCATAAAGACTTTAAGCGTAGGATCAGCTTTATATGAAGCTTTATTATATTTATAACCCTTTTAAGCATAATGTTAGGGCGTAATGTCCTGTATTTCGCATGAAAAATATCTGGCTCTAGGGCAATTTTTGGGTTACTAACAGCGGAAGGACTGATAAAGGGAACAAAAAAAGGTTACTTAGCAGAAAGTGTTATTACGCAGACTTGTCTGCAAAAAGCCATTTGTGTACATGTTTGGGACAGCAGAAAACACAAAAGTAGGTTAAAAAATGACACGGTAACTAAAACGTATTTTTAAAGTTTTGCAGGTTGCATCCTGGATATTGAACAAAATATAGATACAACCAATAACCATATGATGTCGAAATTGACAAAGATAAAACACTTCTCATTCCAACAATTATCCGTGTTTGTCTGGTCACTAGGTTAAACCAAAACTGTTATCGACAAGACGGTTCAGCCTTTTCAAGTACTAATGGCAGTACTGATGAGAATACTCGTATACGACCTATTTTCATTTCAATGCAAAATAAGTCTATGACGCATAGGTGGCTGTGAAAAATAAAAGCCATGACAATTGTTTTTACCAATCACAGCTGTCAGAATACGTTTAAAATATTTTTGGTAGTTAAGGTTTTCAAAATGGGTAGAGGAAAGGTTATTAGTGAGAAAATTCGGTTACCGATAATTAAATTTTTTAATTCTTGGAAATCAAACTCAGAAACTGCAACTTTGTTAGACTTATCGCGGTAAAGTGCGAGAAATATTGTTAGAAGATATAACGTAACTGGTTCAGTTAATATTAAGCCACGATGTGTGAAAAAAAGTAATATCACAAATGCCGACCGAAGAGCATTAAGAAGAATAATCGTGAAAAACAGGCATGCCAATCATTTACAATTAAGTGCTCTGTGGAGTGACGCTGTTGGAAGGAGAATTTCGAGGTCCACAACTCATAGAGAGGCCCACAAACTGGGATTTAGCACTTTAGCAAGGTAAGTCTTCTTATAAAAAAGTGAAGTAAAAACCCTAAAGTTGCACAACTTGTTTATAGGCCAAACAAAAGCCACTATTAACTGCACTGCAAAAGAAAAATCGGCTTAGATGCGCTAAAGAACATAGACAATGGACACCTCAACAATGGTGTGCAATACAATGGAGTGATGAGGCCCGATTCGAAGTTTGTGTTGGTGACACACAGTAGAGTTATTCGCAAAAAAAATGAAGCATTCCATGTTGACTGTCTGAAGAGAAAAGTGAAATTTCCAGCATCTATTATGGTCTGGGGCAGAATGTCATCAAAAGGAGTAGGAAAACTGCATTTTATTGATGGAAATGTGGATACAAACAAATATTTGGCGATTTTAGAAGAATCGCTTTTACCAGTGATGGAAGAATGTTTGGCATCCGGCCAAGATTTTGTGTTTCAGCAAGGTGCAGCGTGCCATACCTCAAAAGTGCCTATAAAATGGATGGAAGAAAATAATGTACCACTTTTGAATGGGTGTCTAGCAGTTCAGATCTGTCACCTATTGAAACTTTGTGGCACGAGATGAAAAAGGTTCTACGACAACATCCTGCTCGTACAATCACCGAACTGAGACAAAAACTTCAAGAAATATGGGATTGCTTTACACCAAATTTTTGCCAAAACTTGGTTAACACTATGCCCCAGAGAATTTCAGCCATAATAAAAAATAAAGGTGATGTTACCCAATGGTGATCTTTCAATTGTTGCTTTGTTAACTTCGCGCATTTATTTGCACATTGTTTATTTGTTCAGATGTTCTATTAGTTATAGGTCTAAGTGTTTTTATATGTATTTTTTACGACTAGAGTGTATCTAAAATGTTTTTGAGAAAATAAATTGTTGTTGTTGAAAGTAAATAGTTTCGTCATGTTTAGTTTATAAAGGCATATTTTGGTACAAATCATGAAGTGGGCCAACTGATGTGGTGGGGGCTCGTATTTTGTTTATCTAAAGCCAGATGACGTTTTTTGTCCACTGCGGGTAAATGTAGAGTCTACTTTATAACTGAAATCCTTGTTGTTGATTGAATTTATTCATCCCATTATTTTGAAGGCTTGAGACTCCCATTCTGAATTAGAGTATGTGAATGTCAGTGGGTAGCGTCGATGTCCCAGATTGCCAGGCTTTCAAGTTTTGATGAGAAATTCTCCAGAAATCGCCAATCTTTAAAGAGAAAATTAGCTAGGAGTCTAATCATAAAACGCCAGGTTAGAGATTAGAATGGATTTGTCAGCGGAGGTTGTTAGACTCGTGAAATCTGAAAGAAGCTATAAGTCCATTTACAGGGACGGATCCAGGGGACATTTGGATGTGGGGAGACTTGTGGGAGCGAATGTTGTTGTGATCTAGCGACAACGGAAAAACGGGGAGGAGGCGGATGACCGACGAGAGGGGGATAATAATTTTCTGCGTATTTAGCTTTCCGCACTGATCTTTTTTGGGGGGGGGGGCGTCTCTCTTCCGATTATTATACGAAAGCGTTAATAATTGTACACCTAGCAAAACTGTGTCAAAAGTGTTATGATGGGAGGTCTTTGATATGCTCGGAACACGCAGAACGCGATACCTTGACATGACATTTGACCATAAACGCCATCGTGCTTAAAGCGGAGAACTTGCGCTGGTCCTCGATTCATTTTTCATTAAAATGAAAAGATATCAGCAAATTAATTGGCATCAGAAGTGTCAAACTCGACAATTTGCTGGATACTAATGTAGCGAATCGCCAAGCTATACAGGGTGTCCGCAAAGTTGGGGTTTTCCTTTTCAGAAACAACTACCCTTGAAATAACAAAGGTAATGTGTAGTGAAACGAGGGCGACCAAGTAAAAAAAATAAAGCAAAAAGTACTCACTCTCCAGTTGACGAGAAGGGCTAAGTACGTCTCTGCCCAAAATCATACCGCTCCAACAGAAAATTAAATCAGCTGATGCGCTACCGAGCAGACGCAGGCAAACAAGGAAGGCAAAATGTTGCGTAAAAAGTCTAGGTATTGCATCCCGTCGAATCGATTTGGGAAAATAAATGGTCCAATGAGCATACCGTTCACCATGCCAGACCAAACATACACCGAAAATGTTTGTTGAAAATGTGTCCGACGGACAGCGTGCCGATTTTCTACTGACCAAACAAAAGTTAGAAGTTACATCGTGAACCACCTGAAGATTATATATATATATATATATACAGGGTGTCCGCAAAGTTGGGGTCTCCCTTTTCAGAAACAACTACCCTTGAAATAACAAAGGTAATGTGTAGTGAAACGAGGGCGACCAAGTAAAATAAAAATAAAGGAAAAAGTACTCACTCTCCAGTTGACGAGCAGGGCTAAGTACGTCTCTGCCCGAAATCATACCGCTCCAACAGAAATGAAATCAGCTGATGCGCTACCGAGCAGACGCAGGCAAACAAGGAAGGCAAAATGTTGCGTAAAAAGTCTAGGTCTAGGTTCACCATGCCAGCCCAAACATTCACCGAAAATGTTTGTTGTAAATGTGCCCGACGGACAGCGTGCGGATTTTCTACTGACCAAACATGAGTGTTGCGAAAGTTATTCACACCATTACGCGTGAACGTAGATTCGTCTGTCACCAATATGCACTTCAAAAAGTCCGAACTATTGTCATGTTGATGCAACAACCACTCACAAAACCGCACTCTTGCTGGGAAATCGTCAGGTTGAAGGGCTTGTACACGTTGGCGGTGAAACGGATATAGCCCCTCTTCACGCAGCGTTTGCCACACTTTAGTTTTTGATACTTGCACTTCTCTAGCGACGTCTCTAGTGCCTGTTGAGGGATTCACGTCTACGCGATTATCTCTACAGGCGTGACCGTATCCGTCGGTTGAAGGTTGCATACTGACCTGACACACTGACCCCGACCCAGTTCTGTCGTCGGGTTGAGCTAGTGTCCTAGTACCACTGATAGATGTCGCGGCTACAGGACGGTATTCAGATATTTTTGATGTTGCAGAGCCCTTTATCTCGGTTCTCTTAAGACATTGGTGTTTATGGTACTAAGAAAAATTGCTTATGTTTTCAAGATCTACACATCGTCTAAAGGAAAACCCCAACTTTGCGGACACCCTGATATACCTGTACATCGTAATGTACGTTCGAATTCCATCTTTTCATACTGAATCTGCATTTCAAATTAACTGATACAGTCTGAAACTTCCTGTATACGAGTTTTGAATTACTCGACAACAAGAGGCTTTCACAAGTAGTAAATATGTTCGGACAATTGGAGCTCCAGTAAAACGAATTATATAAACCATCTAAATAAAATATCGTATACAGTTAACCCCTCATGTTAGTCAAATCTATAAAAAATGAGTTAACAGCGGCAAATCGTGCAACTTCATTATACCCCTCTTGGATAGAGGTTTGACAGAAAGCCGGGAAAAAAACGTGATAGGATTCTATTATGGGAAATAAAACGTATTTTAATGTATGCATCGTTTATCTTGTTATATTGCTTTATAATAGCGATGGAAAATCGATGTTTTCTACAGACCGTATTTTATTAGGAAATAATAATAGGCCTACGGTTTGTTTTGTAAAAATGTTTTTATGACTGTACTCAAAAGGGACAACTGTTGTTGTATATAAACGGAAGGAATATTATAACATTAAACAAAGGGATAACAAGGTCACTCGATATAGTTATGTTCGTCATGAGAACTGGTTGTAATGCATGCGATATAAATATTGTAGCATATGTAATAATGTTCTTACTAGGTATTTGACGAGTCATTAAAATCGAATAAACCGGATAAAAACAGCTATATATACTAAGTGACATATAAATCCGAACACTCAGTTTAAATGGTTTTATTTTAATAAAAGTTGGTGAATGTATTTATCTTACTGTAAATAACAAGTGAAAAAATGTTCAGCCTTATCAGTTGGACATTCTGGTTTTTATACTGCTTTTTTTTAATTCACTAACGCTCTAAAGATGAATATTTTAGCCGCAGTAAAGAATCAACGTTGGCGGATTTTGGTTCTTGACATCCTTTACGTAAATGCCTAGAGTACGGAGACCTGTACGATTTCGTCAACTTAGTGAGTTTGATAGGGGCCGTAAAGTGGGACTTCAGGAAGCTGGACTTTCTTTTCGGGCAATTGCAGTTAGAGTGCAAAGAAGTGTAGACACTGTGGTTAGGTGTTGTCAGGCATGGCTTCGAGAAGGCCGTACGCAAAGAGCAAGTGGCACTGGACGCCGCCGTAGAACAACAGACCGTGAAGATCGCCGCCTAAGATTATTTGCCTTAAGGGTCCGTTTCTCCACTACCAGGTCCATTGCAAATGAATGGTTTGCAGAACACCGAAGACCTATTGGCATGCGAAGTGTTTACCGACGAATGAGAAGTTTTGGCTTGTTTTCATACCGGCCACACTGGGTTCTCCTTTTAACTCGAGAACACCGACGTAATCGCCTTGAGTGGTGCAGACAACGGTCACTCTGGGATAAGGAATTGAACAGTATTGTCTTTAGTGACGAGTCTCGATTTTGTTTAGGCATGCACGATGGTCGTGCCAGGGTTAGAAGGCAACGTGGTGAAAGGAGGAATCCACAGTTTTTTGTTCAACGACATGTTCATCACACTGTTGGAGTTATGGTTTGGGGTGCTATAGCTTATGGTTCCAGGTCACCTTTAATCTTCATCAGAGGTAACATGAACGCGCAGCGTTATATCCACGAAGTTCTAGAACCCCATCTTTTACCCTATCTTGACACCCTGGCAGATCCAACTTTCCAACAAGATAATGCCCGACCACATGTTGCAAGTGTCACAATAGACTTCTTCCAACATAATGATGTCACATTGTTACCATGGCCACCAAGATCTCCCAACTTATCCCCAATTGAGCACGTGTGGGATATGATGGGTAGGAGATTGCTCAATTTGCAACATACTCCTCAGACTCTAGAAGCACTTCGAGAGGAGTTGGTGGTTGCCTGGAATGAGATACCACAGGAGGACATTGACCACCTGATCAGAAGCATGCCTAGGCGCGTTGGAGAATGCGTAGCACATCAGGGTGCATCCACACATTATTAAAGGTCAAAGGGCTTTAAAGCAGGTCAATCATTTTGAAATTTTTATCATTTACTTATTATGATTCATTAAGTACTTATACAAAATTTTATTAAAATAAAACCATTTAAACTGGGTGTTCGGATTTATATGTCACTTAGTATATTTGAATAGCGGTTTCCAAAAATCTGTTCGATAACCTAACGACGAGGAAAAGCGGCCTTTCGCTATGTAATAACATTCAGACATAAGACCGTAAGACGAGTGCTCTTGTCGCTCGACATCAACAAAGTTTTTGGTCCCGATTTGATTCCTGCCGTTGTACTGAAGAGGTGTGCAGCGGAGCTTGATCCAGTTCTTTCGCGTCTCTTTCAGATATCTTACGAATTCGGCCCCTTCCCAGAAAACTGGAAATCTGCTTATGACCAACCCATCACAAAAAACAATTTTTGAGTAAATTCATCCATTCGTATGATGAGGCTCATGCCGTTGCATTTGATATCACGAAAGCATTCGATCAGCTGTGGTACGCTGCTCTCTTATGCAAAATCCCATCCTTTATCCTGCCAGAGAAGCTTTTCAGACACGGGTGGGTGACTTTCTCTCTGGTCTCAAGGTCGTAATTAGCGGGTTCTCCTCTTCATTCCTCAACGTCAACGCGGGGTGCCTCAACCACGACCAAATCACTTATGGCAAATGCTGTCCAGAGGAAGGCTAACCAACTG